TATTAGAGTCCCCTTATCTCCACACCCTCGCCAACACTTGTTGTTTGATGATTTGTTGATGGTGGCCATTCTGACAGGTGTGAGGTGATACCTCATTGTTGTTTTAATTTGCATCTCTCTGATGATTAGTGATGTTGAGCATTTCTTCATATGTCTCTTGGCCATTTGTATGTCCTGTTTGGAGAGGTGTCTATTCAGCTCCTCTGCCCATTTTTTAATTGGGTTCTTTGTCTTCCTTTTGTGGAGTTGTATGAGCACTCTATATATATTGGAGATTAACCCCTTATCTGATACATCATTGGCAATGATGTTCTCCCATACAGTGGGTTGCCTTTCCATTTTGATGATTGTTTCTTTTGCTGTGCAGAAGCTTTTGAGTTTGATGTAGTCCCATGTGTTCATTTTCTCCTTTATTTCTGTTGCCTTAGGTGATGTATCAGTGAAAATTCTGCTCCGTATGATGTCCGAAATTTTGTTGCCTACATTTTCTTCTAGAATTTTTATGGATTCACGGGTCACATTTAAGTTTTTTATCCATTTTGAGTTTATTTTTGTGTATGGTGTAAGTTGATGGTCTAGTTTCATTTTTTTGCATGTAGCTGTCCAATTTTCCCAACACCATTTATTAAAGAGGCTGTCTTTACTCCATCAGAACCACCTTTTGATGCAGGTACAAAAGAAGGACCGGAGAGGCTCCGAGCAGGTTCATGCCTGCCCAGGCTCCGCACCTGGTGATGATGGAGCCCAGATCTGAGCCCCCGATGCCAGCCACAGCCAGGCCCCGGCCGATGCTGCCTCCCCGCCCTCCCTTTCTGTGAGGAGCAGCTGCAGCACGGCAGCCAGTGCGGGCAGAGACAGGCTTCCTGGCTGCCTCCCCTGTGGCCCTTGCAGTGAAGCAGAGACGCAGTGCTGACACCCCATGTAGACCGAGGGCACCGGTGGGCGAGGGGGCGGTGCCCACAGAAGGCAGAGAGAAGGTGGGGAACAGCCCTGGCAGTGTCCCTCGTGCTGCCCCCCAGGCCCTGGTCAGGAGAGGTGCACCTGTGACAGACTGCCGTGCAGGGCTGCCCGCGGCTGGAACCCAGCGTTCATAGGTGGCAATGGGGCAAGGCTGGTCTTTTTTAAACTTTTAATATGGAGTGAGAATCAGTGAGTCATTGATTTGTTGCATAGAGAGTCTTCTTACCACTTTATGGCAGGGACATGAAAACGATTATGGGTATATGTAGTGATGAGAGTAGAGTATTCCTAACATACCATTTTCATCAACTGGGTAATGTCCCTGAGGCTCTGACACACAGCCAGGTTGTTTTTCTGTCTTCTTGCTAACCAAGGAAAAGAGTTGATTTTTTAATCCTCACCCGAAAATATTTTTCTGCTTGTCTTCAGGTAAAGTGGGAGAGAGGGGGAGAGAGACAGAGACAGAGATAGTGATGTGAGAGAGAAACCTTGATTGGTTGCCTCCTGCAGGCCGGGCTGGGGACAAACCGCAACCAAGGTACGTGCCCTTGACCAGAATCGGACTCTTTGGTCTGCGGGCTGACACTCTAACTGCTGAGCCAAACAGACCAGGGCAGAAAAGAGTTCTTTAGAGCTAAGTCTAGAGAGTGATTTTTTGTTAGCAAAAGTAGCTTGCATCCATAATGTGTTTTTTCTTCATGAAATAGAGATTCAGTAAATGAAAGCAATGAACTTGTAGCTCGGGTAGTCCATCTGCTAGCTAAACTGAAGATTTAGAGGCAGTTTAGCGGCAGCAGTGTCATTGAAGGAGGCCTTCCACAGGAGACCTGCCTTCACGTCTGGTTGGAAGTGAGGTGGCGGGTGGTGGGGACCTCCCTGCAAGGAGGCCTCCCGAGAGCCATGAGGAGGGAGGAGGAGAGGAAGACACACCTGAGCACAGCCGCGTGGGGTGGCTGGTTCTCCAGTGCTTTGCTGCTTCCCGGTTCTCAGCCAGATGCTGCCTGGAACCTTCAGTTGGCAGCATATGTCATGAAAGGGCAAGCAGTCGCGTACAGGGTGAAGTCCTCAGACTCCGGTGTCGATGTTGCAGGCCTGATACTCGGAGAGCCAGGTGCTCCTGGTGCCACTTTGATCAGATGGAACACATTCTTCTTTGTTACTGTAAGCTCAACTTATTTAATGCTGACAAAATGATAGCGTCGGTTTTATAAGATGACTATAACCAATGAGTAATGAAAATCTAATGGTTTTTTCTATAATAGACTATGCTGGTGTACCTGTTTCAACTTATAAATGGGAAGAAGCGTGCTTATTAGTTTTTTCTATCATTACTTGATTGGAAGAAGATAAATAGTTCATTTTCACAATTTTATAACATCTTGTAAGAAATCTGTAAATAAAGAGGGCTTCAATTTCTGGGTACTGCTACCACATTTTCTAATCCTAGCTCTGTCTCTCTTGCCATCCAACTGGGATTTAGTCTGGACCATCTGTGTCTTCCTGGTTCAGTGTTGAGTGTCCCCTGTCTTTAGTCAGAAGTCGCTAGGGATGTGCTGTGGTTCTGAGTGTGGAGGGGACCCAGGCGTGTCAGAGCCGTCGGCTCAGCTGCACCTGCCTCGGCCCGGAGGTGTCTGATGGCAGCTGCGGGATGACTTCGTGGTGTCTGAGTGTGGAGGGGACCCAGGCGTGTCAGAGCCGTTGGCTCAGCTGCACCTGCCTCGGCCCGGAGGTGTCTGATGGCAGCTGCGGGATGACTTCGTGGTGTCACTAGTTGAGGCAGAAGCCCTGGTGCAGTGCTTGTCAGAGTATCTGTCTGTGTGTGATAGTCCTGGATGTTTGATTAGTAAATGAACTGAGAAGGTTGTTGGATCCCGCCTCATCTGACACTTTTTTCAGTGTAGTCCTTCGTGAAGTTACAACTTTAAAAATTTTTAATTTTGGCTTCAACTAGTTACAAGGGATCACAGTAGATCAGTTTGCCTCATAAATCAGAGTGGGTTTGCAGGTTTTATTTATTTATTTATTTTTTAAATTTTTTAAATCCTCACCCAAGGACATTTTTCCATTTTTTGTTCAGATAGAGTGGGAGAGAGAGAGAGAGAAACATCGACATGAAAGAGACACATCGAGTGGCTGTCACCCGCACGACCAACCAGAGCTGGGGACAAACTGCAACCGAGGTACATGCCCTTAGCGGGAACCGAACCCGGGTCTCTCCAGACCGCAGGCTGACACTCTAACCGCTGAGCCAAACCGGCCAGGGCGAGGTTTTAGACTCTTGTTCACATGTGCTAAGAAAGTCATTCATTTCTGGTAGCTGAGCTGACCTCCCTCACGTGTCCCTCCTAAAAGGTGGTAAGAACCTGGCCCCTGATGGTTCATCATGTCTCTTATGTGGGAATGTTTAATCCACTCAACGTCGAGCTGTGTACCCATTGGTTACATCATCCCTTCTGTGTGTCTGGTTCTTCAGGTCTCTTCCCTCTCCCCCTTCTCACCAAGAAGGCCCCTGTGGGGGAGGGGCACACCTGTCCCTCAGGAGTGCGGAGCTGCGGGCCCTGCCTTCTCCCTGGGCCCTGGAGGGAGGTGCCAGTGCCCTTGGAGGGCAGGCTGATGCTGAGGGCAGGGGTTCTCAGGCTCCTGGGGTGCTGCTTTCACCCATGGGGCCTCACATCGGGGCCAGAGGGCTCTGCCTGCCCATCAGCCCTCTGCAGCACCCCTCTCTGCTGCCTGCACCTCCAAGTCCCCTCAGTGGCCGTGCCGTGGTTCCCTTTTCCACAGTCTCAGAGTCTGCCTCTGGCCCCTCTGACCCTCCTTTCTCCCTGCAGCTCCAGGGCAGGCTCGCTCCTCTGCGTCTGAGCTCTCCTTGTGCGGGGCATGTGGTGAAGCTGTGCTCCAGCCCAGGCTTGGGCCCTGCTGGAGTAAAGAGCTCAAGGAAGTTTTAAAAATCTTTTTCTCCTAATGATGCTTCCTTTTAAGACCACTTTCAGGTTTTCAGGTTCGAAGCCAGCCAGTGCCTGTTTGTTCTAGACATCAGTGGCTCTTCCTCCCGGCCTGCAGCCGGCCTGGGAAGTGAAAGGCTGGGGGCCGTGGTATGGGAGAGAGGAAACGGTGTGATGATGACGGCTTGTCCCCACTGTTCCAGCGCGTTCTCCCTGAGCTGTCTGCGAAAGCGCGTACTCTCTTGGCACTTGACCTTTCCGTTCCCCAGGACACTTCAGGAAGCAGGCAGACCTCCGTCCTGCAGGTGCTGGCAGGTGCCGCCGCTCCTCTGACACCCGCTGTAGGGGAGGGACCCCACTGCCCAGAACCCGTCGTGATGCAGTGTGGGGTTCTTTGCAAATGAACTACTTTTTTTTCTTTTTCTTTTCCTGTTAAAAGCTGGTTGAAGGTTGTCTTGGTGCCTGACTCATTCCTCTCCTAAAATGCAGCGAGATGTTAGTAGTTAGTGTTGTGCATTGGTTGAGGGACTTAAGAGCTGGTCAAGTCGCTGGGCCTTGAATTCTTGAGCTAGAGTGACATCAAAGCAGAATCCAGATTGGAGCTGCCTGTGACAGATTGTGCAGATGGATGAGTAGCTGGTTCTGTTCACAGGCGTTAGAAGTAGTATTGGCCCAGAATTATCTTTTTTTTTTTTATCCTCACCCGAGGACATTTTTTCACTTTTTGTTCAGGCAGAGTGGGAGGGAGAGAGAGGAACAGAGAGAGAGAGAGAAACATCGATGTGAAAGGGACACATCGAGCGACTGCCACCCGCACAACCGACCAGGGCCGGGGACAAACTGCAACCGAGGTACGCGCCCTTAGCGGGAACCGAACCCGGGTCTCTCAGGACCGCAGGCCGACGCTCTAACCGCTGAGCCAAACCGGCCAGGGCGGCCCAGAATTATCGTAATAGAGCTTATGCAATGTATGACTTAAAAACAATTACATTTTGGCCATAAGGTGACAGTATTAGTAACTAAACTGTTTATTTTTATTTTTTAGTTAGTGAGAAGAGTAACATGACAGTGAACCATGTAATTTTCCTTGTTGAATAGATGTGCACTTGGACTTGGAAGACCGCCTGGCGAAGTTTATGAAGACAGAAGAGGCCATCATCTACTCCTATGGCTTCGCCACCATAGCCAGCGCCATTCCTGCCTATGCCAAGCGAGGGGACATCGTGTTTGTGTGAGAGCCTTTGCCAAGTCCTCTGGAAATAATGCTGACCCTCCCAGAAAATTAATTTGTTAGAGGTTATCTGCCTAAAATAATGCTGATTTTTTGTTTTTAAAGAAATTCAGAATCAGGACAGTGATTCTGCGGAATTTGCGAGGCAGTCGTTAGAAGGATGAGTACGTGAAGGTGTCAGCTCAGCTGTCTTTCATTGTGGTTTATGTACTGAGATGGAGAACCAAGCCGCCCTGGAGGAGGCCGTCCCCTTCCCCAAGCGGCTCTGTGGCGTGTGGTATCCTCCTTAGGCTGCAGTCACAGCCCCCTCGTGCTGCCTGGCACAGTCCCTCCGCTTACCTGTACCCCGCCCCACCCTGTCTCTGCTGCTCTTGGGTCATGACATGCTGAGAACACAGAAGCCATGAGTCGGGCACTCCCTCACTCCCATGTGCAGATCGGCACGCTCACGCACACGCACACGCACTGGGTGGGCTGCACTCCCTGCAGGGGAGGGACAGAGACACGCAGCTGCCTGCGCCTCTCAGCAGCCTCTGGCCGAGCCTCTGTCATCTTTCGAGTGGACTATCAAATGACTTTAATTTTAAAAACAAATTTACTTTGAATTTTGAAAAACACATTTACTTTTTCTTTTTTTTTTTATCCTCACCCGAGGACATTTTTCCATTTTTTGTTCAGATAGAGCGGGAGGGAGAGAGAGGAAGAGAGAGAGACAGAGAAACATCGATGTGAAGGGACACATCAAGTGGCTGCCACCCGCACGACCAACCAGGGCTGGGGACAAACTGCAACCGAGGTACGTGCCCTTAGCGGGAACCGAACCCGGGTCTCTCTGTACCACAGGCCGACACTCTAACCGCTGAGCCAAACCGGCCAGGGCTACTTTTTCTTTTTTTAACACCATAGCCAAAATAATCTTTTTAAATGCAAATTGGATTATGTCCTACTTTTAAGAGCTTCCACTGTCCCTGAAATAACAACCCAGTGTTCATTTTGATCTTGCATGTTCTAGACTACTTCTTCAAGTTCATTTTGTGCCATTTCCCCTCAGGTCATCGTGTGTAGCCTCACCAGCCTTAGAAACGTTCCCTCTTACGTCGGGGTCTGTGCACATGCTCAGTATATTATTCCTCGTCTCTTCTCTTGCTTAATTCCTGCTCACCCTGCAGGAAGGTCTCCCCAACCTCTGCAGACCCTGGCTGCATGTGGGGAAGAGCTTGCAGCCAGAGGGCCTGGTGCCGTGTGAACCCAGGACCACGTGGCATGCGCTGCCTTTCAGGGTCCTTCTGCTCCTCACGCGTGTGCAGCACACCCCTCTGCTCTCTGCTCATACTGCCTCAGATGCACTGCAACCCAGCCATGCATAGTGGTTCGCTGCCTTTCGGTAGTGCCCAGTGAGGACCAGTTCAGTGGGTGAAAGAATGGAGGCTGGCGCTCAGCAGAGGGATCGGAGTGACTGGACCTCAGAGCTCCGCTCACCTGGGCCTGCAGCTCCCGCTGCTTCTCACGGGCTGATGAGCTCCTGCTACTGCCGCGCGGGCTCTGCTCATCCTTCCTACCTGCAGCGACCTGGGAACTCGCCAGCACATGGCCCATAGTGGTGTTTCTCCTGTGACCACGAGAGTGGAGGCTTAACTTTTGCATAGTAAGAACATCAAATAAGACTTGTCACAGACTTAGGTGCTGATCTGAAGTGTTTCTAGTTTTTAGTGAAAACATAGTTGCAACTAGAATGTCATCCATTATCACCTCACACAAGCACCCCATTATAAACTTTTTGAGTTTTAAGTCCAGAAAAAATGTGCAGTTACAACTGAATTTGTATTCTTTCTTTGTCACTTAAGTACTATATTATCCTTTTGGTTTTAACTGCTAGGACACCTAGGTTAAGTTCGCTTCCAAACGTTCTACCCCATGTCTTTGAACTTCAATTTCTACAGAATTTTAAATATTCTGCCTGAAATTCAGTAGGAACATTAGAGGTAAAATGGTGTTTAGTATCCTAGCCAGTGTGGCTCAATAGTTAGAGTGCTGGCCTGTGCACCAAAGGGTCATGGGTTTGATTCCAAGTCAAGGGCATATACCTAGGTTACAGGTTTGATCCCCGACCCTGGTTGGGACACTGTGGGAGGCCAATTGATGTTGGGACACTCTTACATAGATGTTTCTCTCTGCCTTTCCCCTTCCCTCTCCCTTCCACTCTCTAAAGATCATTGGAAAAAATAGCCTTGGGTGAGGATTAACAAAAAAATAAATAAAAAATAGTGTTTAGGCCCTGGCTGGTTTGGCTCAGTGGTTAGAGCGTCGGCCTGCGGTCCTGAGAGACCCGGGTTCAGTTCCCGCTAAGGGCGCGTACCTCGGTTGCAGTTTGTCCCCGGCCCTGGTCGGTTGTGCGGGTGGCGGCCACTCGATGTGTTCCTTTCACATCGATGTTTCTCTCTCTCTCTCTCTCTGTTCCTCTCTCTCCCTCCCACTCTACCTGAACAAAAAAAGTGGAAAAGTGTCCTTGGGTGAGGATAAAAAAAAAAAAATAGTGTTTAGTAAACAATTTGATAAATTGTTTTTGATAAGTTCATTAGACATAAACAGTATGTCCGATGCTTCATTTTCTTCCTTTCTTAGTAAACAGTGATGATGCCTTGCCAATAGGAGGTCTCAGCACAGGGGTTGTTCACATATTTAGGTCTGTCTGTGGGAACTACAGTCTTATGGGAACTCCCTTGTAAGTTACTAACTGCTTTTCTCTTGCTGCTTTTATGATTCTCTCTTTATCTTTAATCTTTTTACATTTTGATGATGATGTGTCTTGGTGTGGGCCTCTTTGGGTTCATCTTGTTTGGGACTCTCTGTGCTTCCTGGACTTGTATGTCTGTTTCCTTCACCAAGTTAGGGAAGTTTTCTGTCATTATTTTTTCAAATAGGTTTTCAATTTCTTGCTCTCTCTCTTCTCCTTCTGGCACCCCCATCATATGAATGTGGATATGCTTGAAGTTGTCCCAGAGGCTCCTTACACTGTCCTCATTTTTTTGGATTCTTTCTTCTGTTCTGATTGGGTGGTTTTTGCTTCCTTATATTCCAAATCGCTGGCTTGATTCTGGGCTTCATCTACTCTGCTGTTGATTTCCTATAAATTCTTTATTTCAGTTAGTGCATCCTTCATTTCTCACTGGTCCTTTTTTATGCTATTGAGGTTCTCACTAAGTTCCTTGAGCATCCATATAACCAGTGTTTTGAACTCTGCATCTGATTGATTGCTTATCTTGATTTTGTTTTGTTTGTTCCTGAAGTTTTGTTCTGTTCTTTCATCTAGGACATGTTTCTTTGTCTCCTCATTTTGGCTGCTTCCCTGTGTTTGTCTCTATGTATTAGGTAGAGCTGCTACGTCTCCTGGGCTTGGTAGAGTGGCCTAATGTAAGACGTGTTCTATAGGGTCCAGTGGCACAGCCTCTCTGATCACCCAAGCTGGGCACTCAAGGTGTACCCCTTCCCACCCCACCCACCCTGTGAGCTGTGTACACCCTCTTATAGTTGAGCTTTGATTGCCTTTGGCACATCAGTAGCAGGGATTTACCCCCAAACTGATCATCTGCAAGGGCTGGCTGTGACCCCTGACCAATGTGGAGGATCAGCTGTGCAGGGGCTCACCCCACAGAGCAGACCTACTTCAGTAGGGCTCTGGTGCCCACTGAGTCCACCCCTTGAGTGTGTCACTTCTGGAGGTGGTTGGCTGGTAATGCTTCGATGTGGTCTGAAGCTGTCCACTGGGTGTGCTGGCTCTGGGGCCTCCCGGGAGGTGCAGGCCACGGTCAGCTGCCACCTGTGTTCTTCCTGGGCCACCTGGCATGCGCTACAAAGCAATCTGCAGATGGCTGCTACATGCGCTGGGCTCAGAAGTTCCCAGGAGAAGTCAAGCTGCAACCCAAGGCCAGCTGCTGCTAGTGCCAGGCCTGCCACTTAGCCAGAGGTATGGGCTCGCTGAGACCAGGTGCTGCTTATTTGAGAGATTGTAGGAAATCTGCAGCATGAGCCAAGACAGTCCATTCCATGGAAAAGCTGCTGGAAACAGTTCGGGTGGGCCCAGAATTTGGGTGGAGCAGAACCTTGGGAAATCACCAGGGGCGGAGGGAGAGGTCTTAGGAAAGGAACAGTGGGCTCTGCCAGCACTTATGTCTGTAAGAAAGCTGAGTGCCCCCCGGCCCCCGGACAGTTCAGTTCCTCCTCATATGTCTCTGGTGCTTTTCAAGCTGCTGCCTGCACTGAGCTCAGAGGGAATAAGTCTGAGTAAGTCTGTGCATGGGCCCTTTAAAAGGAGCTGCCTGGGACTTAAGGAGCCTTCCGTCTCCCTCCGCCTCAATCCCCACTGGTTTTCACAACCAGAAGTTACGGGAACATCTCTTCTTGGCCCTGGAACCCTGGGATGCAGGGTCTGGTGCGAGGCTGGGACCCCTCATTCCTCAGCACTGAGATATCCCGACCAAGCTTTACCTGCCACGTGTGGGTATGGGACCAGCCCATTCCACAGTGTCTTTGTCCCTCCTACCAGTCTCAGTGTGGCTTCTTTTTTAAATCCCAAAATATAGGACTTCCATTTCGCCAGATTTCAGGCGGTTCTGAATGATGGTTGTCCTGTAGTTTAGTTGTTCCTTTTATGTGGTTGTGGGAGCAGGCAAATACCAAGTTTACCTGCACCCCTGCTGACTTCTTTAACCCTGGCAATCACTAGTGTCCATTTCTGCAATTCTGTCATTTCAATATTGTTGTGCAAGTGCAGTTATACAGTAGGCAGCATTTTGGGAATGGCTTTCTTCAGCATTAATTCTCTGGAGATTTATTAAAGTTCTTCGGTGGATCAAGAGTTTCTTATATGGATTGCTGAATCATATTTCGTAGTGTAGGTGCACCACAGTTTGTTGAACCATTCAGCTCTTAAGGACATCTGAGCTGTTTCCAGTTTAGGACTATTACAAGTAAAGCTGCTGTAAACATTCACATAATGGTTC